ACCTGGCAGCCCAACCTTTTTCTCTCAGTCAACACTCTAAATCATCTTTAGATTAGATATAATACCTAATACAATGTAAATGCTATAAATAGTTGTTATACTGTCTTGTTTAGGGAATGATGACAAGAAAATATCTGTACATGTTCAGTACAGATATCAGCCTAACTATATGTACATGTCCCCAACATAGCTTTTTTCCCCCCAATATATTTTATCTGCTACTGGTTGTACCTATCAATGTGGAACCTGCAGGTACAGAAGAAAGACTATTTTTATAATTTATTTTCTTAATATGTCTTTTATTGATTACAGAGAGAAAGGGAGAAGGAGAGAAAGATAGGAACATCAATGATGAGAGAGAATTGTTGATCAGCTGCCTCCTGCATGCCCCTACTGGGGATCGAATCCACAACCCAGGCATGTGCCCTTGAGGGAAATCAAACACAGAACCCTTCAGTCCCAGTACACAGGTCAATGCTCTATCCACTGAGCTAAACAAACTAGGGCTGTATTTATCATTTAAATTTGTTCACTTGTGAGATGACATGTGAGGTCCCTGTTCTCTTGAGAGCAGTAGAATTCTATTTTTTGGCTATCATCATATCTTTATTTCCTATAACAGCACCTTGCAGGTATTAGATATTTAATGGAAATTCAGTAATTAATGAATGAGTTTTATTGTCATGTGTTTACAGGCAATTTATAATTTCTGTTCTGTAAATTGTTTTTACATGGCCTTGCCGATTGAGATATTAGCAACACTCAGCAAATATAGCAAATTGATTTCCTAGGCAGCTTCTTATTGCAAATGTTGACAGAGGCATAGCATTAAAACACACACACACATACACACACACCTAAATGTAGAGTTAAAAAAATGAAAAGTGAATTTGACGTGGTGTGAATATATACTGTCAGAAGTCAGGAGGATTCCTGTTGAGATCAGCATTGATTTGAATAAGAAGTTCACCTAAGGAAGCACGAGATGAGGAATGGCTGGGAAGAGAGCAGAACTCTACAGCAGAGAACTCTATTCTACAGATGAACTTGCACAAGTGCTCCCCAAAGATATCTGTTCATTTACTCACAAAATATGTGTGGAGGGCCCCCTTGGAGCCAGGCCCCGTGCCAGATGCTGGGCAATGGCAGCCAGCAAAAGAGGCCAGGTGAGGTCAGGTGCTCGCCCTACATCCCAGCGTCAGCAATTGCTAGGACATGGTTTACAGGAATAAAACCCACACTGCAAACAGCCAAAGTGCCCTGCGATAGAAGACTGGATGAAGAAGATGTGATACATATACACAATGGAATACTACTCAGCAGTAAGGAAAGACGAAATGACGTCGTTTGCAACAACATGGATGGACCTGGAGAACATTATGCTAAGAGAAATAAGTCAAATAGCAAAAGCTAAGAACCATATGACTTCACTCATATGTGGGATATAAAACTGAAACTTACAAACACAAACAGCTGTATAGGGAGAAGGGATTCCTAACATGAGGTGACAGCAGAAGATTTCACTTTGGGTGGTGGGCGCCTGGTGCTATATACAGATTTTATAACTAAGAAATTCGCACCTGAAACCTATATGTTCATGTTGACCAATGTTACCCCCAATAAAATTTAATTTAAAAAAAAAACACAACAACAACACTGAAAGCAACCTCAATGAATATTCACCACTAGCAACAAGTTCTTTAATTGTAGTGTAATACTGTGTAAATTTGTATACATACTCACTATAAAAATCCTATGTTCAAAGGAAAAATAATTTAGAGAACAGTATATATAGTATGAGCCCAACTGTGCTTACAAAGAGGGGTTTTCAGCTTCTATCTTACGCACTTCGGAACTGCTTACTGTACCATGAGCTTGGGGTAAATTTTTTTTAGAATAAAAAGAAAAGTAAGGCATAGGTCTCTACCTGTAGCAAAAACAAAATAGTTCTCCTCTGACTTCAGGAGGACAGAGCTTGTCTCTACTTCCTAAGTAAGCAAATAAGTTCAAATGACTAAACCAACTAAACTACCGAATTCAAACTACTAAATACCATGGTGGGGGTGGGCTGTTGTTTTTTGTTGTTTAATTTGGTTTGTTGGTCTGCCTACAAAGTTGTCAATTGTTTAAAACTTTGTTAAGTCCACAAAGTAGGTGTGAGAGAGGCACTCTCATATACTGTTGGTGGAAAGGGATATGGTTCTTGTATTCATTTTTACTGGTTTTCACAAGTGATTTTTTAAATCTAGTCCTCCACTTCTCATTTTGTCTACAGCAATTTGGCAACATGTATCAATAGCCTTAACAAATGTTCCTATCATTTCACCCAGCAAATATAATGCAGTCACAGATATAAATACTAATATATATATATATATATATATATATATATATATATAAGCACTTAAGGCAGGATATTTTTCAACATGGCTATGAACCTATAAGCAAAGTTACCAATGTTATAAATAGTTAGCTGATGTATGTCTGAAAGTCATGCATATGTCTGGCATACTTGATTTTACTACTATAGGAGTTATAAATTATTTAATGTTTTTCCATGAAGATGTCTGGCTCAGGAACTCCCATGTAAATACATACATATAATAAATCTTTTATTTCTGGCATTATTAAATCGCTCTTGCCCTATAGGCTCTAAGTAAATGCTGAGCAATATTTAATGAATATTATTTTGAAGGGGTGCCAAATCACTGGCCCATACTGGGCACACATTTGTCTCAGTCCATCTTTGGAGAGACAGCTGGCCTTCTCTGGAGAAGTCACCAGGAAATAAGGCAACTTCAGAATGTCCCAGAGCGAGTGTGGTTATGCCATACCTGACCCTCTTCTTCTCTGTTAGCCTCTGTTTCATTTGGTGCATAGTTCAGCCTGGCTGCCACATCCCTTTCTCAACATAACAACTCTCAATATGCTTTTGACTTCTGCCTCATTGCCAACTCTCTGGGTCTCTCAATCTTCCAACTCCAAATTCCTTCAGCTGAATTGTATAAGTCAATCCCATAGGTCAATCCCATAAGTCACTCAACTGAGAGGACAATTATTGACACAGGTCTAGTCAGCAAGGCCACGGGAGGGCAGGGTTAGGCTACAAGCAAGGGAGGCAGGGGTAGATATGTCCGAGCCCCCTGTGCATCCTTGGCATAATCATCCTTAAATATTGCTCTGTTGGCTCAAGTTGTCAAACTTGAGCAGAATGGGACAGCTTTGTGTCAGGGAGCAGCTAGGGGATATCAAGACCAAGTGAGATGATAAGGGCATCCAGCTGAAACCGGTTTGGCTCAGTGGATAGAGTGTCAGCTTGCGGACTGAAAGGTCGCGGGTTCGATTCTGGTCAAGGGCATGTACCATATATAACAAACATAATGAGTGTTTATGCAGTGAGGGGATTTGGGAGGAAGTGTTTCAGGGAACAGGGAGAGAAGTCTGTTTCTTGAGTTATAGGTGATGCTTATATGTATCAGACTCCTGGGCGACTGCAGCTGCTCACAGCTAACTTGAAGACATTCTTTCCCTCCACAAAACAAACTCATAAATTATCCTTATGGCCCTGAAGGTATCTCCTCCTGCTTGACAAAGAGACACCCTATTAGCAGCGTATGACTAACTTCCTGAGAACCAAAGGAGTTGAGCAGAAAGAGTGTTTAACATAAGAACAAAGGCCTAATTAAGAAATAAATTATTTCGAAAAGTGTCAGTATCAATAATAATGATGATAATAATAAAAACTCACTGGTCTTGGCTGGGTAGCTCAGTTGATTAGAATATCGTCCTGATATACCAAGGTTGTAGGTTTGATCCCCAGTCAGAGCACATACAAGAATCAACCAATGAATTTATAAAAACGACAGACCAAAACTGCAAGTCATGCAGCCAAGCTTGCATAGAGGAGAGACCTTTGACCTCCAGCTGCACCCAGAGCCAAAGTCTCATCCCCCTCCATGGAGCCGAAGGTCTGAGACAAAAGCAGAAGTTGAACACTGGAGCCTTTTTGGAAGTGAGATCCTGTGTTAAAACCCCTTACCATCCATGGCCAAGCTCCAAGACCCTCCCATTAAACCTGTTCCGCCAGCACTTCCACAACCCTGTTCCCTCCAGACCCTTAAAAACCCACTCTGAACCCTGAGTCAGGGAGTTTGGGCCTTAGAGCATTAGCTTTCTGGTCTCATAATAAAATAGCCAATCTTTCAGGCTGCTGTCTGTGGACTAGGCCATCCTGTCTCACTGCTTCACTAGTTAACTCACTTATATAACAAATAAAAATAAATAAAACGGCAAAAAAAAAAAGAAAGAAAGAAAGAAAGAAATTATTTCATTCTAGCTGCCAAAAATAGTAGAAATGTTAAAATCACTGATCTGCTGCCTCCTGCACAACCCACACTGGGAATCAAGCCCTGCCTGGGAATATGAGCCGTGACCTCCAGGTTCATTGATCAATGCTCAACCACTGAGCCACACCCAGCCAATCCAGCAGAGAGCTCTTGCCAAACACTTGGATCCGCAGACATCTTGGGTTGGAGGTAAAAGAGTTAGCAGCTGTGGGATGACATGGCTCTTTTTCATTCCCTCTTATTTACCAGCCTTACTAAAATCTAACCAATCAGCTCTGCAACCCTGCTCAGATCTTTGGATCAGTCCTAGGTTAATCAGTAGCCCAGTGGTACCTGGTAGTCAGGTTGGACATTCTGTGTTGCACACCATTCGAGCCAAATCCCAAGCCAAAACTCATGATTCAGGCTGGAGTTGGAGTGGTTCCCTAAAGAGATTTGTTTGCATTTTTTAAGAGTTCTTTACATATTAAGGTTGGAAAATATTTTTTTTTCTTTTTATAAATTCAACACAGCATGATAATCTCTGCAGGGAGTAGAGAGAAACTATGCCTTAAAGGGTTAAGGGACACCATCGGAGTTAAAACATTTGCTACATAGAAAGCTAAAATCAGCTGATAATGGATCACCTCATTAACCTATTTATTTATTATTTAGGGAAAATGGCTAGTCCACTGGTTGCTCCCTATTCTGCAAGCAAGTTTGCTCTCGATGGGTTTTTCTCCTCCATCAGGCAGGAATATTCAGTGACCAAGGTCAATGTGTCAATCACTCTCTGTATCCTCGGCCTCATAAACACAGGTAAGGTCAAGCGATTGAATAAATGGCCTGCATATGGATCATCTGTCTTACCATTGTGGGTAGAGGGTGGTGAATTCCCCAATTCATGTGTAATGACCTAAAAGCCAGTGAGAACACTAAGTCCTCATTTAATGAAGTGCTCTTGTCACTAGTGGGGCCTCTGACTACTCTTTGAACCCTTCTTTCCATTCTTACCCCCAGATATACTGAGTGACACTACACACATCACTTGATCCTATTCTGAACCCCTTTATCCTCTTGGACTCTCAATGGCCATTATTTTCCTATATGAGACTTATCAAATCAAGTTTTCCTTAATAACATCACTAGTAATAAGACATGTCAAATATGAACCCCTTGATATGATGCACTGAAAAAGACACAGCAGTGTGCTCATAGTATTCTTGCCAAAAATGCATCAGCTCAATCCAATTATAAGAAAACAATGGACCCATGAGAGACAAGGAAAAACTGAAGAACTATCACAGATTGGATGGGAAATAAGAAGAACTTAATAATAAGTGAAATCCTGGATAAGATCCTTGATCATAAAAAAGGTATTAGTGAAAAAATAAGGCCTGTAGTTTAGTTAGTGATAGTGTTCCAATTATACCACACCTGTTCTTGATCATTGTGCAATGGTTATATTTGATATTATGATTAGGGGAAGTAGGGTGATGGATGTAAGGGAATACTTTGCATAATTTTTATAAGTTTTCCATAAGCCCAAATGCTAAAACATGTGGCAATTATGATAAGAAAACTTTATTTTAAAGGGTAATTGATTAAACTGAGTAGCAGGTACAGAACAAGAGAGAGAGAAAGACAGAGATGCACAGTGAAACAAGGAAGAGAGAGAGAGAGAGAGAGAGAGAGAGAGAGAGAGAGAGAGAGAGAGGGAAGCTGTGCAAAAATAAATAAATAAATAAATAAATAAATAAATAAATAAATAAATAAGAAAAGCTGGAAGGTGAGAGAAGATAGTAGAGTTTCCTTCTGAGTAAAAGTGGATAATGTTGACAAGGAATCAAAGCCCGGATTCTTGTCCTCTTCCTTTGGTGAGTCAGTAAATCATCATGCATCATTCTTTTTTACTCCTCTCTGCTCCGCTCGTCCACCTTACTCCCTCACCCCAACCAAAACACACAAGAGAAGAACATGATTCAAATCTCTCAACTAATTAGCTCTCCCTGCCCCCACAAATCTTCACCCAGGAAGACAGGGCCTGTATTAAGCCTCTCTTTGCCCAACAGACCCGAAGCCTTCCCAGTCTTCTCCACGTGTTCCCTTTAGGGCCCACGGGCCTTTCTGAGGAAGCACTGGCAAACAGCCCCTATTTGCTAAGTTGTTGGGGTCAGCAGGCCTTTCAATGATGTAGGCACTACTAGTCTTGGGTAACTAACCCCACACTTTCTCTTGTCGTTTAACAGACTCAGCTATGAAGGCAGTGGATGGGATACTCAGCACAGAGGCATCTCCAAAGGAAGACTGTGCCCTGGAGATCATCAAAGGGGGAGCTCTGCGCCAAGAGGAAGTGTATTATGGCAAATTAGGATGGAGCAACCTCCTGCTGAGAAATCCAGGGAGGATCCTCCTGGAATTTTTCAGCCTAAGAAGTTATAACATGGAAAGATTTATAAACAACTAGAAACGTCCTTAGGGCTGGGCAGGATAAGGAAGCTTTGGGACTGTTCAGCCAGATGTTTATCTAAGCTCCATCCATGAAGGCATCTACTCAGAGAGGTGAATGAGTCAGTCTCCCCAGAGAGTCACAAGTCAGGCCTCATGTCTCCCAATTTGAAGGAGTTCCTCTAACACTTGCACGGTGCACATGTGATTACACTAAATGTCATGAAGCTGCAGTATCTATGAGCTTTTTGTTGTTTGTTTGTCTGTCTTGTTTCTGCTTAGCCCCTTCCCCTTTTTCATTCAGCCCCTCTAATAGCTGTCAGTCTGTTCTCTACGAGTCTGTTTCTATTTTGTTTGTTAGCTTATTTTGTTCATTAGATTCAACATATGAGTGAAATCATATGGTACTTGTCTTTCGTTAACTGGCTTATTTCACTTAGCATAATACTCTCTAGGCCCACCCATGCTGTTGCAAAAGGTAAGATTTCCTTCTTTCCTAATGGGAACCTGCAGTTGGGAAGTTGTTAGTCACCATAGGTATAAAATTATAAAATAGTTATATAAAATTTACCTCATATATAATAATGTTCTGGTGCTTAGTATAATAAATTGTAATAAAGGTCACATAAACTTGACAAATCATCACTGGTAGCTATAACTTTAGTCTATTCAGTATGGTGCCTTTAAAATCATAACCTTTACAAATAAAATTTATCAGTATTCATTTCTCATTTTGTGGTTTGAATCTTTTCGTTGTTTTTGAGTTGAAAAAATCACCCTACTCTTCATTTAATTGACATCATGTCTTCACTAGTCTGTATATTTCAGATACTTTTTCTATTCTTTGTTATTGCTCCTCTAGGAAGGAGGACCCCTGGGTCTGAATGACTAGGGAAACCACCCCTCTCCTCAGTGGAAGTCTCTAGAAACTTGAGCCACACAGCCTATGCTCATCTGTTGTACTCAGAGTGCATAAAGCATCAGTGCTTTACCTGTGACTGCTCTACTGTTTTTTAGACATTTGGAGAGAGGGAGTGGGAGTTCAAATCCTGCCATTCACACATTTAATCATTCCTTCAGTCAACAAGTATTTATCCAACACTTGCCATGTACCACCTGAATATAACCAAATAGAAAGCAAGACTTTGGTCACATGAACAACTCAATAAAACCCTAGTTAGGCCCCGAACTTGAAAAAGATGGCAAACTTGATCATTTTAATGGAGTTTAATAGCAAGGGGGTTATTTACAACAAGTGTGGGCAAGACCAAAGGGCAATCACAAGAGATAACGTGGATATCAGGGCCAGTTGAGGCTGTTTCCAAGGAAAAGAGGAGAGAACTGTTATGAAAACCCAGAGATAAAAAGAACTGTTTGGAGAGGGCCGTGTGGCAGGAGCTATGCCATTCAGTCAAGGAATGCAACCAGCCCACTAAGGATCTTGAAGGAGGAATCTAGAGGAATAAATACTCCAGCCTCACTCTCGTCACTCTCTGATTTCTTGCTGATATTTCCTAGTAGCTGAACAGAGGTGTGAGGGAGCAGATGGATATAAACTAAACAGGCCAGCTTTCCCCATGCACAGAGCAGCGTGGAAAAGGATGGAGGATGATCTGGAGGGACAGGCTGTGTATCCAGCATGAACTCAACACTCCCAAACGTAGTGCTTCCAATGTGAGGGATTCCAGGGCACACAAAAAATTAAGTCTGAGAATTGAAATCATTGAGGGCTCCTCGTTTACCGTCTTCATTAGCATGACATTACAATTGCATTGTCTTTATCAGCATGACTTTACCACTCCAAGCCACGTTTTGTCCAGGAAGATAAATGTTGCAAATCCATTTTAAATGCTCAACTTTTCAACAGACAGCATAAAATGACCATTAACCTTTGGAACCCTCACTCACTATGCTCACCAATCCCGAACCACTGCATCATGTTCCTTACCCAATCCTCACCAAGCCACCACACTGAATACCCACCTGAAACTAAATCCAATACTTATCAATTCCCCAACTTTGCTCTCTGAGTGAGCCCTGTTGCATGTGCCTAATATTTTGGAGGAAGAAGAAAGACTGAGTTTGGCCCTAACTGGTTTGGCTCAGTAGATAGAGCGTCGGTCCCAGGTTTGATTCTGGTCAAGGGCATGTACCTTGGTTGCAGGCATATCCCCGGTAGGGGGTGTGCAGGAGGCAGCTGATTGGCCTTTCTCTCATCAATGTTTCTAACTCTTCCTCTCTGTAAAAAAGAAATAATAATAATAATAATAATAATAATAATAATAAAATGTATTTTTTTAAAAAGAAAGAATGAGTTTACATTCATTCAGTATGCATCATCTAACTCCAAAGACCTCCTTTGGTCATGTCTACTTCAAAGTGCTTCCTCCTGGCTCCACCTCTAATATGGCTCTGACCCCCAGAAGAATTCAGCTCCTGTTGGCTTTCCCCTCCCCTCATTGATCATGCAAAGTGAATTCTGACTCTAACTTGAAGCCATCCAGCTATTTTTTAAGAAAACAAAGATATTCTCTTACTGCGAGAACCTTTTTTTTTTTTTTTTTTTTTTTTTTTTTTTTTTTTTTTTTTCTAAACATGACATTTGTGGTTAGGGCTAACCCTAACCAAAAAATTCAAAACCTTAATGTCTACCCATGGGCCATCCATATTATGAAATCACTATATCATGACAGAAAGGATGAGGTGGATTTCTATGTACAAACATGCAAGGATCTTCATGACATACTGTTAAGTATATAAAACAAGTTGCTTACAAATAGGTATAATATAATCCATTTTTGTTAAAATATCATACATATACATGCCTTTCCGTTGCATGTGTGTTCAGTATAAATCAGCAGCTCCCTGATTCTGCTCACTTGTCCCTCAGTGAACAGCATGGGGGAAGTAAGAGAAGCCATGAAACAATACTGATGTTGTTAATAAATGAAACCTTTGATCTTTCCAAGAATGCGTTGGTGAATGTTTAACAACTGGCGCTCCAGAAAAAAGAAAAGGAAAGGGGGAAAGCCCTGGTGCGCGATGTTTGCTGTGCCCATGATATAAACACTCTCACTGCGGTGGGTTTCAAGCCACCTGTTGACATGACCCAGCGTTTGTGAGAAGAGATATGCACCAGCAGCTCTCTCTAACCTGCTCAGCTGGCTCCAGCTGCACCACCCTGATTTTCTCTCTCCACATTCTTGGCATAAGTAGCTGTTCTTAAAGGCCCAGCACAATGCCTCTCTCCTCCTCCAAGGACTTGAAAGTAACAGACCAGCTTATTTCTGCCGCTGCCAGGGAAAGAGGGGGAACAAGGGCTCCCAAAGAGGGGATGTTCACACCCCTCAATTCTCAAGGTGTCCGCCTCTTGCATGAAGCCAACAGCCTTGACTAACGGGTCAGCGAGTTGACCTTCATGTTTGCTAGCACTGCACTCCTCTGGGAGCAATAGAAAAGCCCACTGTCAGTGGCTGAAGCAAGTAGACATTTATTTTCCTCCCATCACAAGACATCTGGGAAGGACAGACCAGGGCCTTACAGAGCCGGCTCCTTCTGTCTTCCCACTTAACTATACATCCTCCTCCTTGTCACTGCGCGGTCACAGGACGTCTGCTCCACCTTCAGCATCACGCTGTGTTTTGGGCAAGAAAAACAGGAATATGAAGGGCGAGAGAGGCATGCCAGACGGATCTGACCCAGAGGAAGAGCCCACTGGGAAGCCCTATCCAGGACTTCAGCTCTCATCCCAGGGGCTAGACACACATCATGTGATCACCTCTCCCTTTAAGAGAGGTTGAGAAATGGAGCACATCCCCCCCCCCCAAAAAAAAGGGGGGTTCTGTTAGGCCACCAGAAGTATTTGTCACAAACTATGAGGGATGGGAACAGGACAGATATAAGGGATAAGGCAGATGAGAAAGGAGAGAATTTCCAGAAAGGCTCAACAGGACTTAGAACCCCAAGCTCACAGGAAGGAAAAGCCAGCTCTGCACAGATCCAGAACAACAGATAATGTCCCCGAGGGGGCAAAAAGGGAGATGGATTTTGGGGGGAAACACACAAACAAACAGAAAAGCGCCAGGTCAAAACCCACTGGGTTGGAGAGGCTTTGGAGATAGGAGTTTCTGAGAAGGAAAACAGGAAACAGAAGCCAGAGGGGAGGGCACATTGGCCTGTTGCATGTCCTGGAACCAGAGAGTGGAAACTGAGGGACAGATTTAAAAAAACAACATCGTTGAGACCTGAGGCCTGAAGGACCCAGAAAACCGGAGTGTTGACGTGTCTGTCTGTGCCCTGCGTGGCTCACCTGGGACTGTTGGGTGGGTGGATCTCCCTGCTACTGTCCTTGGACAGCCCTGTGGGACCTGAATTCCAGGTAACAGTGGACGAAGAGCTATGACACCCCAGGGCCAGAGCAAAGCTGTTCAAATGAAAGACTTTTTCACAGGCCTCCTTTTCGCCATTAGAGGCAGCCTCGCCACCTAGTGGCTGGTGGTGGTGGGTGCCTCACTGCACCACAATTTCTTTCCCCAATTCGTGCCTATGCTCTTTCTGCTCTGGGGCTACCGCCTGCTGCTCTCTCTTCACAGCCTGCCTCCTTCTGAGTCACCGCCCAGGGCGGACAAACAGACCTAGTGGGGGCCTGGATGGAGCGGGGGGAGCGGGGGTGTCAAAACTCAGTCATCTGGTAGGGCCACCTGGTAGCAGCCAAAGACACCATTGGCTTTGAGCTATGGGGAGCTAGAGCTGTTCAATAGCGACAGCTAGCGGTCACCCTCCACAGCAAGGTGCTCTGAGCCTCACAGGGAAAGAAAGCTCAAGGTGTGGGGAAATCAGGACCAGATTCTTGGCTGTGAGTGGAGACTGGCACACATCCAAAGCCATTCTTGGCTAAAATGGTATGTAGAAGCCTTAGCTGGTTTGGCTCAGTGAATAGAGTTGGCCTGGAGACTGAAGGGTCCCAGGTTCAATCCAGTCGAGGGCACATGCCTGGGTTGTGGGCTCAGTTCCCTGTAGAGGATGTGCAGTAGGCAGCCAATCAAAGATTCTCTCTCATCATTGATGTTTCTATCTCTCTCCTTCTCCTTTCCTCTCGGAAATCAATAAAAATATTTTTTTAAAAAATGGTATGTAGAAAACCCAAGCTCTTTAAAATGATGCCCAAGGACCCTGGCTCCCTCCCCAGCCACATCTCGGGGCCACGTGCCCTGCTTTTGGTTCCTGAGGACAGAACCACTGGTACTCAAGGCCCTCCG